TACAGGAAGCTTCTCTTAAGCTCTATGTACGGTGTCTTTATAATTTCTGATCAAATTGTTGATATCTTCACATTATTCATGCAATGAGATGCTTTGCATTTGTACTGTGCCTGTAACAGCAGGATCTCAAAGCCATTTTGCAGTTGTATTATAAATATCTTCTGGGCAAGTATTTTGTTTCAGGAAATGGCTAGAGGACTGTCACAAGTAATTTTCTATGAGTGAAAGGTAACATATCAGCAAAGCTGCTTGAGGAAAACCAACGAGCTTTCCTGCTAAGCCAACAGAGAAATTTATACTGATTTTATATCACTGCCTTTTATCCTAGTGTGAATACCAGACATTTAGTAGGCAGAGTTCTCTCCCCCCCCCAAAATGCTGTATATATTTTATTCACCTGCCTAAAAATGTCTGGATAAATCTTAGGAAATTATGTTTATTTTTTGAAGGAAGCTGCTTAATAGTGGGAGACTAAAACAGTAAAACGAACTCATGGCTGATAACTGATTGCCCTGTTTTAGTCAAAGACCAAAGGATAACTCAGAGTCTGGATTCATGACAGTGTACAGCACAAATCTATGTGATCAAAGCAGCAGTTACAGCAATTAAAACAAAGCTTTTAAATATTTAAATAAGGCCATAATGACTCTCTTTTCAGATGGAGGATGGCTCTGAATCCCTGTAATAACTGTGGAAACATTAAAAGCTTCTAATGCAATGAGCAGCATTCCCTTATGAGATGAGGAAAATCTAGAACTGCAAAAGTGAAATGGAAGATATGGCAAAAATAAAAACCCTTCTTGTTAAAGCAGTAACATATAGCCCTACAGTTCCTATCCCTGAGATGATCAAATATTGGAAAGTTTGGAATGATTTCCTTAATTCATCTAAATTGTTGTAACAGGCCATGGAGAGAGGGAGACAAGTGATCTTTTCAGATAGCTTGGATCAAACCACATTACACCTAAAAATACAGATATAATCTCAGTGAGTTGCAATTGAACACCAACTGGGAACCGGTGAAGTGCAGGGAATATTGGAATAATGTACTGCTTCTGGTCTGCCCTTATAAATATGCGGTCTGTTACAATCTGCAGTAGCTGTAACTTCCAAGTGGTCTACCAGCATATCCCTCAAAGAGCACATAATTATTATGGAGGTTTCAGTATTAGAGTGGACTAAAACAAGCTCCTGATCTGAACAAGCTGGATTAGGCCTGGGATCAGGCAGGAAAAGCTTGGTTCCTCCTTTCTAGTTTGGAGCTGTCTGTTTTGTCCCTATCTGAGTATCAGTGTCTCACCTCACTCTCCCACCTATCCTTCCCAACTCCATATCTGCAAGGAGTCTCTGCTGCTCCCTTCTCTCCCCACACCCTCCCGCCCCGAAATGCCAGCTATTATTTTACCAATTACAGATTTAAAAAAAAAGACATTTCTAGCTCCACAAAACACCAAGTACTCCAGGCACAAACTCGAGACCCAGAAGTATCCCACATTATGAAAGGATGGACAGACCTTCTCAGTCATGGGGAGGGTAGCTATTCTTTCCCATACACTGAAGCTGCATCCTAACAAATCCACCATTCACCTTTACCTTACATGGATTAAGCTTTAGGCAACTTGCTGTCATTCAAAACAACAGGAAAATGAAATCATTAGATTATCCATGTCCCATGAAAGAAACAAAGCTGTACATCTTTCCCATATTGATCCAGGATCTTGCATCTCCCTAGTAGCCTTGGTTCATGCTGACTAAGAGGTGGTGACAGATTAGTCTTCTCTTGGTGGATGAACACAGGTTGGATGAGCAATTATACATCACTCTATGACCTGCCAGACTCAACAGCCAAGTGAACAGAATGACTTTGTGAAGGGTAACAAATGCCACCAACAGATAGAAGACAGTAAATATGGACAACTGATCTTTGCTAGGAGGAGTTAGTCCATAAAACCCTAAGTATCTTCAGGAACCATTGCAACAATTGTATTATTGGCTATCAGAGAGGAATCCAAGTGATGCGTTACCACAATATCTGAATAACCTTGTCCCAAAAAGCTAGGACAGAGAAAAAGCAATAGTTAATGAGACCATCAACTTCAAGAGATGGTTTCTTGAGCAAGGGCCTTACAGCTCTTTGTCTGGGACATATTGCCTCTCTGTCTTCCCTTAGAAAGGCATTAATGATCACAGTCAACAAAGTACTCCGTACTTCTCTGCTAGAATTTACTAGCTGTTATGGACATGGATAATAACCAAATAGGAGACAGTATATTAAGGTGGGGGCAAAAGTGGCTGAAATTCAAACAATGTGGCATTTGACCCCTGAGATTTTATTTTCTAAGCTAAACTCCTCACAGCGAGAAAAATCTACTCTATTTTCCAGGCAGTGATAGATTAGATTTACAAAGCTATCCAGAATCCAGTACAGTTTCAAAAGATTAAACTTCATGAACCTTAATATGCTTCCCTTCTGCCAGCTATAGCACATAATTTTGAAAAATTCTCCACGCCGCCACTGATCAACCTTACAGCGGAATGACTATCACTACAATGCTGACTTCAACTTACATGTGCTTTATCTGTAACAAGTTATCTATATACCAAGATCACCTGTATGGACAGCATATGAGGGGAGAGTATTTAGAAAAACATGCTACTGATAGTCAGAGACAACAGAGGGCATAATGTATAACCAGTCTCAACACCTAAGTTGTCTGCAACTGATTCACGTTTGTCAGTCTCTTCAAGGCAGACCACTAAAACAGGCATCTCTGCTGCCATTGTTAGCTTACACTGAATGTGTCCTGTGAGTTAATTCACAGAGACAGGTAGAAGAATAGAAGACACATGCTCATTTGGAATCAGAGAATCACAGAAATTAGATAGAAAACCCTGTTAATCATCCAGTCCATCATCCTACAAAGTCTGGATTGTCACCTATATTACTCTAATGGCTATACCACAAAGTGATTTACTTAGGGTGTTGCAGTGCCTAACTTTTAAGTATCATTCCACGTAGTGGAATCCTCAGCCCTGAGTGAAGTGCACAGACTCCCTATTTAATGCATGGTGAGAGTTAGACCCCAAAGAAAAAGTCTAAAAAAAGCCAGCATGCCAGGTGAGGGGCTGCCTAAGCAAGCCAGTAGGAGATGCCCAGGAGAAGGGGATGGCCTAAGCACCATCCCTCAAGGGGATATTTTTTAAGTTGAATTCTCATTTATTAGGCAGACAATAGAGAGAATCACTTAGATTTCTGACTCAGTGTTTGTGCCTTCAACATCGTAACAATCTTCTGCTCCTCAATAAGGAAAGCTTGTTTGATTCTGCCGCGGAAACATTTAGCACACCTAGAACAACCATACGCATCTTTGTTTTTAATAATCTCATAAGGACTGTAGGGCACACAGCATGAATACCATGAAGTCTTCCTGGACACACACCACATGCAGACTTTGGTTCTTTGCCAACTTCGTTGGTGCAAAGGTAAATAATCCTGTTACCTGATGTCCAAGAAAGCCTGGTCTTGTTAGAGGCTGTGTTGTAGGACAACCTACTTCAAAAGGCACTAAGTCTGGGATGGATCTTTCTCAATCAGCGCTGTAGAAATTGCTCCATTTTATATAGAGTCCAATCTCTTAGGTGACCTCTGAGCCAGGAGTGCCAGAACCTTGGTAGAAGAGTGTGTGTGAGGGGGATGAGGCATTTCACAGCGATCCCTGAAATCTGAATTATTGGATTAATTTTCCCTAGACATATTAGGTCTACCCTACTATTTTCTACCTCTTTAGCATCAATGGTATATTTCATCAATATCCTTTGTATTCCTTTTTCTAGATCACTGATAAAGATATGTAATAAGACAGTTTTATATTACTAGTCTACCCAACAGGGACTCTTCCCAATGCCAGATATTATCACACACATTCTTGGTTTATGCTCTGTCATCCTGTTTTCAGTTCATATGATTTTTTATTCAAATCAATTTAAATTAATTTTTTTCAAATTCAGATTTCAGGTGTCACTATCAACATTATTTTACTAGGGACTGAAGTTAATGTTATAGGAAAGCAATTGCTAGGGTCATTCTTCATTACATTTTTTTTTATAAACATCACTACAGCTTGAGAGAGAAATAAACTCCACATGACCAAGAGTCTTTAGAGACACTTCTTCTCAAAGTGCTTTGTGTGAGCCTTTCAACAAAATAAATCGGCTCACTCTGACTCCTCCCTCAGATGAGACCAGAGAAGAGGAGGAGAGAGGCAAAGGAAGGGTGCCATTCTAAGCCCACCTTAAGCATGGAACATGGCATCTATGCTCGAAGGCTCCCTGCATGTGCACGTGTGAGATAGCATAATTTGAGCTAATTAGTTACAATTTATCTGCCCTCTTTTAAATGTTGGGTTTAAGTTCCCTTGGCTCAAGCATTGCCTTCATTTACTGTTCCACTTCACTAAAATAATTAAAGAAGATAACTGAGAAATAAGATTCAAGTAGTGCATTTAAGAGCTGTTATAGTATGTTTCAAGTGGTGTTCTGAGAGACAAATGGCCAAAATCTGTCCTGACACCTGAGAAGTGCAACAGACACTATAAAATACATAAGCGTCCCATCATGCTTGTGAAATGGGATTTATACATAAAATTAGGAAAATAGACTAGTGCATGCACTGAGTGTTACAGGTACAGATAAACATAATTGACAACCAATCAGAATGGTTTGGTTCAAATTTGTCCAAAGGTCTGAAGTAATTTCATTATAAAAATTACACACGCAAGTGTGCAACGATTTGCAAAATGTAATTACATGAAAAATGAGTGTTAAACAAGCAAAATGCTGAATGCTGCCAACAGAACTGTATGGGTTAATAGGTGGTTTTAAGAAAGCCTTTCAAACAAAGCCTTCAAAGGTTATCGTGCTATCTTATGGATCAGTTGGTAAAAATGTTTTGCCAAATGAATGTAAGGAAACTTAAAACTGTCGGCTTTCGCCTACCGTACCAAGATCAGTCTTAAGATCTGTTGGCAGACTTAACTTTCTTGATCCTTTAACTGAAACAACAGAAAAAGGAGAAAGGCAGTTGTTAATAATTAAGAAAGAAGAAGGAACGAGGGAGAACAACATGCCATCTTCTGATTAAAACCATGTTGCACATTTTGTATCGGTGTATAAAGGCTGAAACGGTGTTCAAATATTGTGTTCAGAACTAGTGTTTGCCTAACATCATTCAGCAAAATAAATTCATCTGAAGACCAAAACATTGGAAAAGACAGTGTTCCAGCTGCAAAGTGAATGGTCCTTTACAAAGTCTTTGCTGTGTATTCCAATATCTTACCTTACTATGACTGGCATAACAAAAAAAGATAAGAGTAAGGTAAATGTTGCAAGTGCAGATGTTGTAAAATATCATAAAATATTTTAATAACTGGTAACCAGTTCAATAAGAGGGTGCCACTGAGTTAATAGGTTCTGAAGACACCATTCCTTAAAAGACATCAACTGTAAAGGAGACGGTTTATTGCATATATTATGGAGACAGCACACATACTGTACGTATTATAGATGAGAGGAAAGATTGCATAGGAATGAAATACAATAGCTTTAAGATACATTTTAATATTTTATATAAATCAAAATACTATATTGAATTTATTTTATTTGTTCTCTTGCAAGAAAATCCACGTTTTAACATTTTTTAAATTAAACATTTCAATGTTTTTGTTTGAAAGAACTTCTTGTATAAAAATTTCCTATACATTTATTTTAAAATACAGGTCGGACCTGCCTGGTCTGGCACCCTTGGTATCTGACTAGTCCTGAAAGAGGGAGTTTGCTGGACCAGGAAAGGTCAACTTTAGACCCTCTGCTGTCAGCCTCTGGGCTCTTCCCGGTGGTCACCAGTCTCCTGGTCGAGCTCTCCTCACAACCGCCGACTCTGACCACAGGGCTCCACTGCTGGCCCTGGCCAGTCTCCTCCCCACCTGCTGCCAGACTGGCTGTGCTCCCGGCCCCCCTAGCTGGGCTCCAGGCCACCAGCTCCCTGGCAATGGGACCAGCCCTGCTCCTGGCCCCGGGACTCTCAGCCGGCCCCAGCTCTTAGCTACAGGGTGCCTTCTGGATCGCGGATGTTGTCAGACCAGAGAGATTCTATCTGTATTAAAAATGTAAAAAAATGCTTGAAAACAAAACAAATATTTTGTTTCAGATTGAATGCAACATTTTATTTGACCCAAATTACACTTTTTAATTTTTTTTTAAATCTATCTCCAGTTCAACAGGGAACATTTTTTTTTTGCTTTACTTTTTGGAATTGCCATCAGATTAACAAAACCATAACACTTAACTCTAGCCAGACAGACAGTCTTCTAAATACATAGCTAGAAACTTGAACAAAAGTGGCCTGGTTTTCAGAAAAAGATGAGACTTCACAAATCTAACTGAATTTAATGGCAGAGCAAAGTTACAGGTGCTCAGCCAATCTGAAAATGGGGCTACTTCTATTCAGGTGTCTAATTATGCATTTAGGAGCTTAACTAAGTACCCAAGTTTGAAAAATGTGGCACAGTAAAATAAACAAAAAGAATCTCAAACAGTTAAACTGAGCCCATCTCAATTACTCTGTGTAAGAACAAATCCCAAAGGAGGTGGTGACAGTGAGTCTTCCTTGCCTTAACCTTTGTGTGCTCAAACTGAGCATAGGGTGGATTTAAAACACAGGCTCCCGTTCTGATTTGATAGAATGCTATGGTCTCTTTGGACTGGTGCAAAGGGCTGCACAAGACACAGGGCAATGGAGATGGCCTGTAGAATTATCCAGTGGGATACTAGCAGCAGAGAATGCTGTGAGACTCTGAGTCAGAGTGCCTAGATGGTCCACTGGTTAGGGCACTAACTGGGATTTAGAAGGCCAGGATTCAATTCACTGCTCCACTACAGACAACCTGGGTGGCTTTGAGCAAGTTACTCATAGGGTTACCAGGTAGGTTTAGAAAAAATACCAGACACACTTGATCAGACGGGGGGCTGGTGGGAGCAGCGCGGCTGACCCAGGGAGATGAAGGAGGGGTCAGGGCAGTGCAGCTGGCCAGGGGAGATCGGGAGGAGGAGAACTGGCCGGCAGGAAGCAGGGATGGCCAGGAGGGGGTCAGGGGCAGCGGAGCTGGTCGGGGGAAGCACGGGAATGACCAGGGCACATGGCACATGCAGATCCCAGGGTGCTGTCAGTCCCGCACATGGTCTGGAGAAGCATGAGTGAGTCCAGCTGCGGCTCCACCATGCACTCAGGAGCAGGGATAGGGCTTCTCCTCCTCCTCAAGGCATCAGACAGAGCCAGGGCTCCCAGCGCTAATCGTGCCCCACCTCCCAGCCACTCCGCCAGGCCCCGCCAGGCTTCCATCCGGCGCCCAGCCAGAAATCCAGGAAATACTGGACACTGCACATGTCCAGTATTTTCTGGATTTTTTTTTACTGGACAGAGGGCCCAAAAACCGGACTGTCCAGTAGAAAACCGGACACCTGGTAACCCTAGATTCAGCTATTCCCTGGTCATCCGGTCACTCAAGTTAGAGTCTGATTCAGGGAGAGGCATTCATGTACTTAATAGTGCTCGGTTGCAATAATCAAGTTTGTTAGCCACACTCCCCCACCACAGTGTTGTTTACTTCCAAATGCCAGGTCAGCCCGTTATACAATTCACTTGCCCTCCTCTGACAGATGGGAATTTTTTGTTCATACACTATTGATTCTAGCTAATAGGCATACTGGGAAGCAACAACAAAAGGGGCAGGAAGTCATAACCAGAATGTTTCCACTCTGCTTACACTTCAGCCAGAAGGGGAAATAGTTGGAATAATTTTCAAGATACGATTCTAATATCTGCCTCTCCCTCTCATCTGCTGTTTTCCCTCTCTGACCAGTGCATCTTCGCCTCCCTGCTCCCATATGCCATTTCCCCCTGTTTTCATAGGAGGGTGCACAGGATAACCAAGAGCCGAATCTGGCCCACTATCTAGTTGGACCAATTCACATCTTTGGGACACATTGGTGAGGAGTGCTATAAAAACCCCTGCCATGACAGAAAGAGACGCAGGTATATGTATTTTGGCACATTCTTTAATTGCCGGTTTTTCTTCCAGGTCAACGCAATTATCATTTCTCAAGTTGAGGTGACAGGACAACTGCAAATTTAAGCCAGGTACTAAACCATGAGAAAATAATCAGAAGTAATTAGTTCACTTTTTTCTCATGTTGAAAGTGGGAAAATCTGCCAGGATTCTCAACAATAGAGAACTCACCTCACTCACACCCAATCTCAACTCTCTTGTGTGTCCAGAGTTTAGACACCAGCCTTGTCATGAAATAGCCATGGCATTGACTTGCAATGAAATGTGCCCACCAAGCACTTCCCTTTTCCTTTTAGAATACTCAAGTCCTAGACTGTCAACAAAGAGCGTTTAAAATAAGTGTTCATCTGGGTTATTTTAAAACTTAATCAGTCAATCATTCTAATAAGGAAATGACTCCCTATACCATGTGATATGGTTCAATTATTAATATGTCTTATTCTGCAAAATAGCTTTGCTTCACACTTTTCAAAAGAGAAATGTTTACCTTCACAGGTATTGCCTCAGATAATGTAATGCAGTGTTTCGTAAACTGTGTTCTGCTGCACACCGCAGTCAGAGGTGTGCTGCAGGGAACAGAGTTCAAAATGGCCACCCTTAAAGGGGCAGGCGACCTTTTTTGTGCTCAATTTCCCTCCCAACCTTTTCTTTTCTTTTTTTGCTCAACAAAAAATCATTGGTGTTCCCCTTTAAAAAAATTGTTTGGTGTTCCTCAGTCTTAAAAAGTTTAAGAAACACTGATGTAAAGGGTTATTTAAATATTTGGGAAAAGTGCAGTAAAATTATTGGGAGGGAAATTATTGAGCAAAAAAAAGGTCGCCTGCCCCTTTAAGGGTGGCCATTTTGAATTCTGTTCCCTGCAGCGCACCTCTTTGCTTCCACAGAGAGACTATATGGAGCGTAAGTTCACATATATATCCCTTTCAAAACCTCTTCCTGTTTTTGGGCTGCCACTGTCCACTCTTTGCTCCAGATCCAGAATAGTGATAGGTACAAGCACTAGTACTGCTTGTTTTGGTCTTGAGGAAAGAAGGGGTATAATTGAGAGTCCACTTGTGAAGAAGACAGCCTTGCTGGGAAGTATCACTTTCCTTAAAATGGGAATTGCAACCCCCAGCTTGAGGTTTAGCCCAGGCAACCTCTTAGCAAACTATCACTTCTGAGTATGGAGAAGGCATTGGCATCTCTGAGGAAGGCTGGCATTTTCACTCTCCAGATAATCTGTACGATTTAAGACTTTTCAGAGCTTATAAGGGTCTGTAATCTGTGGATATTTCTGTTATGAGGAAACCTCATCATAGTGTTAACATCTAAAACTATCTGAAATTTTTTTAGACAAAACTTTTTCAGTAAAAATGCAGATCTCAGTCAATTGAAACACTTCACAGAGTCCTTTTGAATTCACCAATTTGTTATGGTTCCCTCCCCCAAAATGACCCTTTTGACTAAAAACACTTTGGAATTTTATTTCAATTTGATTGATTTTTTTTCCTAAAGATAAAGACACCTCAAACAAAATGAAATGTATATTTTAAACTTTTTTTGGTTTACTGAAAAACATTTTTTTTCTTTTCACCTGAAGCATCTTTTTTTTTTTAATTCAATCTGGCTCCTGAACTCCCCTCTTTCCCCCCCAAAATCAACCTTTTGCACTACTCTGCAGGCATCAGTTAACCTCCGACACACCTGGTATTGTTTTTATATATACCATTTCAATATTATAGGCACAATTTCTGTGGTGATAAAATTACACATGGAGACTTAAAAATGGACTCCGCTCATGCATCTACAACAACAAACCAAAGAACAGAAGAGAAACAAGGGCAAGAAAATGGATTGGTTTCAAGCTTGGATGGCATTAATATAAACTATAAGTAATTCAATTATTCTTTTAAAATTTAAAATAACATTACGAAAGTGTCCGTCTG